ATATTTTATTTTATGGGAAGCTCTTTTGTGCTTCTTTATTTCTATAACTGTCAGGGTGTTCTTCTGTTATAGTATTCTCTTAATGTAACATTTTGCACTGTAACTGTTACTTTTCTTATCCATCTACCAATAGACTGTGTACTTTGTGGCTTTAGTTTATGCCTGGCATATCGTAGGCACTTGGGTAATGTTAAAAGAATGTACAGTAATAAATTAATGTGACTCCCATTGGTGAAAAGTAGTTATTGTAGCTTACATCAGACCCTGGCATTTTTATCAGATACTTCACTTTGAAATATATTGGCTGAGTTTGGGACACTACCAGGAACAATTAAATATGTAGTCCATATGTTGTAAAATATAAGCATGGGCAAATAATGACTATTATATGGAGGCCTAGTATTGCACAGATATTTAGCATAAAATTGGAACGGTACACTTACAGTTCTCTGGTTATCTGCATTATCTAAAAATGTTGATGTTTATGTGTATAGCTTACATATATAGATATAAACTGGTGCTTTGCTATATTAGATTTAAGTCAAATCCCTTTTTTCTCTTTTATAATTACTCCAAGATGCTGTTGGTAGAAACTATTTTTAAATATACACATATAAACATATTTATATGTATTTTACAAGTATATGTATACATGTGTATTTATATGTATATTACATGAATCACATTTCTGTATATAATTTCTGGGAATTTAAGATATCTTAATTAAAAAAAAAAGATATCTTAATTTTTTTGTCTGTAATTTTCTACAAGCCAAGACCATGAAAGGAATGTTTTCAAGTTGTCAGTGGTATTTTCTGGGAAAATATCTGATTTATTGAACTTGTAGGAAAGCATGTACTTATTTTATTTATACTTACAGGAAAGATTATGCATTAAGTTAAATTAAAAAAGTATTTGAGGCTATGAATTAATGAAAATGAAGAAATAACAGCTGCTTTCACATGTGATCACATTTAGTCTTTAAAGCTAAAACTGGTATCTTGCCCAAGCTTTCTATATGTAAAAAAAGAGGCACAGACTCAGCAGTGTAGTGCTGTGCTCCAGACAAAACTTATGCTCCGCAAATGCTTCATGGGATGACACTTGTATTTTATTTTTATTTTTTATTTTTTATTAATCTGTATACCCAACACGGGTCTTGAACTCACAACGCTGAGATCAAGAGCGTCATGTTCTACCAAGTGAGCCAGCCAAGCTCCCCGATTCGTGTATCTTAGATAACACCATAAGTTGAGTTTCCTACGTACAACGAAAGTGAAAACAGAACTGAAACCTGCTCATCCCCCTTCTGCAGGTATTATTTCAGTTTACCTTTAATCATATTCATCAACTTGCTTCTCTGCTGGTGTTCTGTTTCTAGTGCATTTTAACTTTATGGTTTAGTAGAACATAATAGTGACAGTCCAAACAGTGAAAAGTGTGAACGGACTTGTATTTTAAATCAGCAGCAGTAGAGGGAGAGAGTATTCCCATTCATTCCTTAATTACTCATTATCAGTACAGTCTAGTTTTTTGTATCATCTGTGTTCATATTGATTTTCCTCTCTTGACTAGTCAGATGCAACCCCACGACACAGTAACAATGTCAGCTTAAAAGGTTTTGATTTTTCTAAAACAATATATGGACTGGATAACTTCTTTCATTTTAGAACCAAGAATTTCTGTCACATGCAGACCGTGGGATCCTGAGTCAACCTTAAATGCTGCTTGTGGGGACATCATTGTTTCCCCCTCAGGACAGGGCACCAGATTACTGGGGTGTGATGGGGAGGTGCAGGCAGAGGGCTTAGGGCGAGGACCTGGATTGGGGGGGTGGGCTCCTCTTTTGGTTAGAGACACTACACTGTAGAGTTTCTATAAATAAGACCCTTTGCTGGGGACACAGCAGTGATCAAGTCAGACAGGTTCCTCCTAATCTCTCTGTTGCTGATTCAGTGGCCACTTCTCAATCTTCATCTTACTTAGCCTGTTGGTAACATTGACAGGTAAGCACTCTCTCCTCCCACTTCCTTGAAACACCTTCCTAACTTGGTTTCCAGCGTGCTACATACACTTGTTTTTCTTCCTCCCATACTGGTTGCTCCTTCTCAATCTTCTTTGCTTGTTTTGCTTCTTCTGCTTCACCTTGTAGTGTTACTGTGCTTCAGAACTCAGGCTTTAGATCTTTTCCTTATGTTCATTCATTGCCACACTTGATCTCAAGATTTTAAATACCATCCATATGCTGGTGAGTCCCAAATTTATATCTCCAGCCCAGATCTCGCCCATGACATTCAGATTTGTGTATGTCCAACTTTCCATCCAACACCTCCACCTGGATATTTAATAGGCATTTCACAGTTAATGTTCCAAATCTGAATTCATGAGCACCCTTTCTACACTAAACTTGTGCATTATCTTGTATTCTCCCTTGCAGCGTTAATGACAGCCCTATCTTCTTAGTGGCTCAAAGCAAAACCCCTGAGCCATCATATTCTTCTCTCTTCTTTCATATCCCCATATCCAAGGGGGGCGTGTAGCCCCCTCTCACTACCTCTACTCCCAGCACCTTTGCACAAGCCACTCTAATCTCTGGCCTGATGTAGCAATAGCCTTTAATGCTTTCTACCCTTGCCCTTTTGTTACAGTCTAGTCTGAGCACAGTGTGATCCTGTTAAAAGGGAAGTCGCATTGTGACAGTCTTCTGAAGTCTCTAATGGTTTTCTATCTCAGAGTAAAGCCAAAGTCCTTACCAGTGGCTGACAGGGCCCTACGTCATCTGCTCTCCCTCCCCTTACTTCTCTGATCCATTCTTCCCCCTCTTTTACTGTATTCCAGGACTGTTTCTTGTGAACATGCCAAGCCTGATCTCTTCACAGAGTTTTCCCATATTCTGTGCTCTCTGCCTAGAACGCTTTCCCCACATGCTTGTTCCTTGCTCTCTTCTTTTTTTTTTTTTAAGATTTTATTTATTTATTTGAGAGAGAGAGACAGCGAGAGAGGGAACACAAGCAGGGGGAGTGGGAGAGGGAGAAGCAGGCCTCCCGCCGAGCAGGGAGCCCGATGTGGGACTCGATCCCAGGACCCTGGGATCATGACCTGAGCCGAAGGCAGATGCTTAACGACTGAGCCACCCAGGGGCCCCTCCTTGCTCTCTTCTAATATTTTGTTCAAATGTCACCTTTGCGTGAGGCCTTCCCTGACCACCCTATTTAGTATTGTAGCACCCATCCCACACATTCACTGTTCTCATCTCTGCTCTTTCCCCATAGCACTTACCACCTTTTTATATTGCATTAATTTACTTACACATTTTTATTGTGCTTCTTTTCGCACTTGCTCCATGAGGGTAGGATTGTTTTATTTCTTTACTGATGTTTCTATAGCACCTAGAATGGTGCCTGGCACATAGTAAATGCTCAGTACAAATTTGTTGAATGAAAGGAGACAAGAGTTGTTTAATATTATGTGAGGTATGTCTGCGTCCCAAGTCAAAATACATGTTGGTTTATTTTTTTTTATTTTTTTAAAGATTTTATTTATTTGACAGAGAGAGACACAGTGAGAGAGGGAACACAAGCAGGGGGAGTAGGAGAGGGAGAAGCAGGCTTCCCATTGAGCAGGGAGCCCGATGCGGGGCTCGATCCTGGGACTCTGGGATCATGACCTGAGCTGAAGGCAGACACTTAACCGACTGAGCCACCCAGGTGCCCCAAAATATACATGTTGGTTTAAATCGGTTGTGTCACTTATTCATTTTATACCTGCCATTCCTTGAGAGTAGTATTTGAGGCAAATCTGCACCTATTTGATAGTTATATAATTTGGTTAACTATTTGACCAAATATGTATTCATTAGCTAGAACCTGAGTCAAAGGGAGGCAAACATCTTATGGAAACCATGTTTGGAAAGCCGAACTTATATTGGTAGGTGAAATCATTAAAAGATTGATTAGGAAGATCTAAATTGAACTGCTGTGGAGAAAAAAAAACCCCTTTCGATCTATTATAGTCCCTAGACTTGTTAAATACTTTTATTCCATATAATAAGCAACTTAATTGTCTACTTTGGCATTTATTGTAGTCAACTTCCAACAAATTTAGTACCAGATGAAATATTTCCTTGTCACAAAATCAATTGCTCAAATCCTTCTAAGTATTAGAGCAGTGATTTTTAAAAACGTTATAATTATTATTAGGAAAAGAGTACTTTAAAAAAGAAATCACATAGCCAATTGAAAAACAGGTAGAAGTGGAATCTACCTATGTCCAAAGTTCAGGAGAATAGTTCTTACGATCACTGGCAGGAATGGATGAATGTGCTCACTGCCCTGGATCTGGTTTCTGTGGAATCTGAAACCGATACAGTGTGTGTGTTGGTGGGTTGGGGAGAGGGGTTGGAAAAAGAATATGAAAACTATCCATTTAGGTACAGGGCTTTGGAAGGGCCCTGAAGCTTCGTCTGATCTTAATGATGATGTTGGTGATAGAGATGAGCGTTAACACATTGAGCCTTGAGATGCCCAGCACTGTTCCAAGCACGTTTCATGCATTATTCCCCCAAACAACCAGAGGTACAGAGAAGTCATGCCCAGGGTGACACAGCTGGGAAGGGGGAGAGTGAGGAAGGGTAGAAATGAAGAAATTAGACTGAGAACAGAGACCTCCATCAGCCTCAGTCCTGCCACCCATTAATTGGGGAAACATGGAAAACAGCACTTCATCTGGGTGTGTATCCTCGACTCTACTTGTGAAACAGAAATATTGATGCCAGCTATGAACTCCTCATTCTATTGTGCTAAGGTCAGGGAAGGTGTGTGTTAAGTGCTTTGTGTAGAGTGCTTGGAAATGTGGTGTGTTATTAAATTGCTTTTCATTCCAGCACAGTATTATAGGTGAGGCTTGCAAATATGATGAATTCCGCTGACTTTTTCTTTCACTTCTAATGTTTCTAATTTATCTCTTAGACGTGATTTTTTTTTTTTTTTCTTTTTAGGTTACTTGTCTGCAAGACTTTTTTGGTGATGATGATGTTTTTATTGCTTGTGGACCTGAAAAATTCCGTTATGCCCAAGATGACTTCGTCCTGGATCACAGTGGTAAGGCCATTCTTTGACCGTCCTGGTAACCCTGAAACAGAGTCTCGGGGTTTAATCAGTTGGCCCATGCTAAGTGGTCTGGCATGTTGAAGAAAGATGACATTGGCGGTACTCTTTTTGAACTAATGAAAGTAGAGAATAAAATGAAAGCATTTGCTTAGTTGTTAAAAACTGAAAACTTAGTTCAAGTAGTTTTCATTTTGTAGACTAAAACAAGTTGTCTTTTTACTGCATTGTTTTGCCTCTGATATGGATTTCCTTCCCTGTTTCAGAACAGTGGCTGGTTGTGCCACCTTAAATATACAGATTGTATTGAGTCTGAAATGGTTAGTTGTGCATTTTCTGTGTACATAATGAGATATGTAAAAGGATCATAACTAAATTGTTAATCGTGGTTGTCTTAGCTTTCTTTTTACTTCATCGTTTGCAACTTTAAAAAAAATGCATTGTTTGTATATGCAGAACAAAAATAAAGCTATTTTCATTAATAGAATAAGAAAATCCCTTTCTCCAGTGTATGGAGTTTTCAACTTCCATGTATGGCATTTTCAACTTTTTAGCAATAACCCCAGTGATTTCAAGTGTTATTGATTCTGGGAAAATTGCTTTACCCTTTCGTCTTGAATTAATTTAAACCTATTATAGTAATAGTGATTATTTTAGCTGATAGTAAAGTCAACTTCCTCTTTAAATGAGGTAAAATCATACAGACATAACATTTCACTTAGGAGAGTGATGTAAAAGATAAAGTCTCACTCTTTAATTTCATGAGTGAGGAAAGTTGGCCTTTCAAAAATTAGACCGATGGTAGACCCTTTCCAGTTGTAGTGATTCTGACCATCCAGAATTAGAGAAACATGTCAATAAATACTGTGATCCATAAACTTCTTAAAATTCAAGATGATACATTTTGTGGTACCAAACTTCCTTGTGCAATTCTTTCCTGTTACACTATGTCGGTTACCTTGGGGATAATTTATCTGCTTTGTGCTTGGGGCTCATTTATCTATATTTTTTGTTTTTGTTTCATTTTCTCACTGCCGCCAAATATCATTGAGGGTTTCTGTTCTGTTTTGTATTCTGATGGACTGGCCCTGCTTTAAACTGGTAATACCACTGGAAAGAAGCGCAGAGAATGTCCTTTTGTATTACGTGTGCTAATGCTCTCCCCTGTTCCCATGGATGATTAAGGTTGACTGAAACGTGCATTTGCATTATCATCTGTAATTTATATCTTTCTTGATTTTAGCTTAATCTCATTTCATATTATTTCTTTGATGTCAATCAGTAAATTTGGAAGTTGAGACACTGAAACACAATGATATCTTCTAGGTTATAAAGTTAATTTGGGTTAACAACAACAAAATATTTATTGAGTACATACTATGTATATACCAGGCATTGTACTCCATGCTTTATGTGTATGTTGTAAACTTACCTAAGCTAGTTTTATCATTCATAGTTTTTGTTGTTAGCTATCGATGGGCTCCCAATAGTGAAAGGTGGGTGTAAGCTACCGATTTCTTCCCTCCCAGTTGCCAATTACTTAACCTTCTGCAAACTGGGGATAACTGGCGTTTTCGGAAGATTTTATGTCAATATATATAAAGCAGTTACAAGGGTACCTGTTGTATGTGCTATGGCTCTTGTTACTGTAAACGTCATTATTATACCACCACCAGCAGGTCATAAAATCAAACCTAATTCTGCCACTGTTACATTTATTTGGAGGAAAAATTGTGTATTTTTTTTAACCAGTTATTTAACTTGTATTTAATCTTAAAGTCCTAACTTCAAATCCTTTTAGGATTTTGATAAGACATTAAAATGCTAAACGCAGTCTTAGCCCAGTAACAGAATCCTCCTTCAAGAACTGGCTTCAGGACTGGCTAAGCGTCCTAAAACTAGGGTGTAGTTCTGAAGCTCTAGTTATTGGTTCTCTAGATTTACACTGCTTATGAAAGAGTGGCACTCCCTTTAAGATGTTTCTGACTAACACACACACCACTCCTTTCAACAACAGAATGCTGTTTAACATCCACAATGCTAATTAACCTAGCTGAAGTTGCTCCAGCCCCTTCTGAGTGAGGTTTAGATTAGGGTCTTTCAAATGCTAACTAGCCTCCCCTGGTGTGTATTTTCCTGATTACTGGACTTCACATGTTAATTTATTGCCCCTGAGGTATAGATTAAAACCAACCCACATCTTAACCTTACCACGTAAATTGAAGCATTTTAACGTAAATGACAGACAATATGCTATCTAATTTAATCCTTATAACAAGCCTACGAAGCAGATTTTATTCCTATCCCAATTTCATAGGGGAAATAACTGAGCCTTAGAACCTAACCGAGGTCCCCCAGTTAGCAAAATCAAATTCATGATTCATGCAAAATCTGCATGACTCCAAAACCCGTGTTCTTAATTATTCAAATTAGCAGTGATTATTTTAGCTGTAATTAGTTCTGGTCCTCTAAATGCTGTTTAACTTGGTGATTTATGGAAAAACCAAAGTTATTGTTGAAAGCTAGTTTCCTCATTTTTTGATGCTCCATACTTAGGGAAGGTGGAAAATAAGACAGTAAGGAGTCCCATACCCTTTCAAAATAAAATTATCAGAGAATTTGGAGAGAATAAAATTGTAGCCTTTTGCTACTGACTAAAAAAGGAAGTTGCCCATGTTTAGATTAGGCTTTATGGTTGTGATCAAGTTAGGACATTGGAATTTCTGTATCCAGTAAGAACTCCACTGAAAACAATGACGTGGTCTACAAGATGCCTAGCCTGACTAAAGATAACCTCAAGTGTACTTTTGGGACAGTTGCTTTGTCTATTAAAGTTGTTTTACAGTAATGGGAAAATGATCAGGTAATCGTTCTCTGGCAGTAAACCACATTCACGTGTGATCTTCCCTTGGTTAGTATTTAAACCAGATTTAGTTAATGCACTTTACTTCCTTTCTAGAATGTCGTGTCTTGAAGTCATCTTATTCTCGCTCCTCAGCTGTTAAATATTCTGGATCTAAAAGTCCTGGGCCCTCCCGACGCAGCAAATCACCAGCTTCAGGTAGTTAGTCATTCTTCAGTTTCTTTAATTATTATGAACTGGTAGTCTTTCCCATGTTTGCATGCAGCCAGGTTCCAAAATAACATGTAGATGACATGATTTTTAAAACCAAAAATTTAAGTCTGTTGCTCAAAGCTATCATAAATCTGCTAAGACACTTGTTTGTTTTATTCTCACACATTTTCTCAAGAACAGTCTATATCTAGAATCTTCTGGTATTTACATAGAAGTGTTTCACATTTGGACCACAGCGTACTGTATTTTTAGCTTTGTGCTATATGATTGTGGATATTTTTCTTCTCTTATTGGTTTAAAATATACATCTAACACAGAATGCATTTACTTGGTAAGTTTCACTGGCTTTTCCTTCTTCAAGCAATTTAATAGTAGCAATGATTATTATTAGAAATTGGTACTTATTTAAGAGTCAGACTTACCTGTAATTAAGTTTCTTTCAGGTTCTAAACCTGTAGATCTGTCATAATTTTGACTGTTTTTTTCAAAGCTAGAAACACCTATAAATATCTTGATGTATTAATTCTATAGGGTTTGTTTATAGTAATTGTAACTAATTTTGCTGATACCATTTCCCTTTAAGGAAAGGATTGTGAAAAACCATGATTTTACAGGTGGGAAATCTAGAACATGTGAAAGTAGTATCAATTAAAACTGTGTCAAGCACCAGACCCTCTAAAAGATGGAGTTTCTTGGACATCATACTTGTCACTGCTTCCCCTTCAGCACCCACCCCACTTTCCTTCAGTCTGGTTGTTTTGCCCTTCTTCTGTATACGCATTCAGACCTGCTGAATAACTGCTCTCCTTGCTGTCTCCTCCTCTTTGTATTCACTGTATGTGCACAGTAAAGAGGGGTGGCCACCACTCCAGTGCCTGCTCTGCGGCCAGATCCCCAGGTGAGCCATGATGAGAATGGCTATGTCGCTCTGCTGGGTTTTTGTTTCTGTCTTTTGCCACATTTCTGTTTCCTTTCACTCCATTTCCATGAACGTCTCTGGCTTGTACCAGGTACATCCGTGCGCTGTGGAACGCTCCACCGTGTGTGGGATGCCTCAGCGCCCCTTCTTTGTTGGAGAGCCAGTCGTTGCCAGAAGATGGCCAAGTGCCTCTCTGTGTATAGTTACAGGACAAAGGGATCGAGGAGCCATACCACCTCAAAGGATCCACCTTCTTGTTAATTTTGGAAAATATCCCGTTGTCGAAAGAGGTGAACGTTTGTTGGTGATATGAAAATGGCCACAGGGGCAGTTAAACTTTTCTGTTCTCACCTTCTTCTCCTTCTGTTCTTACCTTCTCCACCCTACAGCTAATAGACCCAACACTCTTTCTGAAAATATTGACAATATGAATATGTTCAACAGAAGGCATCTCTCTGCTGGGAAGCTTAGTTCAAATCATATTATGCTTTCTGTCAAGTATCTCAGACACTAGGAAAGCTAATATAACACGAGATTGGCATAAATACAATTACCTGAGCTTACCATATGGTAAATGTAGATTTTTGTCAGGTTCTTGGCTTTCGTTTTAGCCAAGGTTTACAGATGTTTATCATATCAGTAAAATAAATAGAAGTAAGGAGAGTGATTCAAAAATCAGGTATTATAATGAATCCAATACATACTCAACTAAAAGCATGTTTCATAAGCCATATTTCTCTTGCAGACCAATATGTTTGTGTAAATAAAGATTTATTCAGATCTTTTTAAATTGAATTTGGGATGCTTAGAAATTGATTCAAGAAATCCTAACATTTCAGGACCCCCAATTTTTAACTAAGTCCGTATTTGCACTTGGGATAGTAGAGTAGATCTTAAACTTGTAAGTAAAAGTTGTGAGATGTTTAAATCACGTTTTGGAGGGCAAACAGCGTCTTTATGAGAGATTAAACCCTAAAGTATGTTCACCACATCCTGCAGTTACAGAAAAGTGAGGGATTTGTATTATTAAAAGCCAAGTACCCACAAGTACAACTCACTTTTACAGACCTCTAGCTGTGGTATATATCTGTTAACATTTAGAAAATTCTGTGGGACAAACTGGAATCTCAAACAGAACTAGTAACTTTGTAGACATAACATTGTACTTTTTCGGTCTTGGGATAGAAGTGCACCCTAAGTGCAGTCTTCTGGTTGACTGAATTCCTCAACAGTGTGTAATAAACACATAGAAATTCATCTGGATAACATAAGTAGGTAAATATTACTGTAATTTGAGCCCTAAAAAGGCTCACTTTAGGTTTCTAGCTTGTGAATCTTTCAGAGTCCACCGAGAGAAAATATTCAGAACAAACAAACCAAAAAGCCCAAGTTTATTTCTTCCCTTACAGTTGAGGGGAGGTGTGGATAATAGCCTTCTTTTGGGAGAGAAAGTCAGGGGGTGGTGAAGGAGTGGTACATGATGGAGGTGTGGAATGGTTGTTGTCCACCTGCCAGTTTTTGGCAGCCCTGTGAGGGGAGCATGCCCAATGTGATCCTGTCCTGGGTCCCACTTACCCTTCCTGAGACTCGGGAGAAATGTGCAAAGAAATGAAATTAAGGACTACTCATGAAGGAACATTTTTTTTTTTAAAGATTTTACTTATTTATTTGACAGAGAGATAGCAAGAGCAGGAACACAAGCAGGGGGAGTGGGAGAGGGAGAAGCAGGCTTCCTGCAGCGCAGGGAGCCCGATGTGGGGCTCCATCCCAGGACCCCGGGATCACGACCCGAGCCGAAGGCAGACGCCCAACGACTGAGCCACCCAGGCGCCCCTGAAGGAACATTTTTTAGAATTTTCCAAATGCTCTGGGAAACTGAGAAGCCCAAATGTGACTTGGTATCTCTTTAGGATGAGATTATTTGGAGGGAAATATGGACATGTAGTTACTAACACCAGTAAAACCCCTGGCAGTGAGTTTTGTCAAGAAACTGTTTAGGAGGGGGTGTGGTTTTAGGGAGTTTTGTCTGCTGTCAAGATCACCATTTGCAGGAATTGATTTTTATCCTTTCGTTCCTTTTCTGTCACTGTTCCAAGGTAGCCTCTGCTGTTAATGTGGTGTCTGAGTATCTGTGAAAGCTAACAGCACTTATTGAGTAGAGGCTGGTGATGTGCACAGGTTGCTGTATGGAATGAAAAAAAAAGTAAAATTCAGTCTTAACTCACAGCAAATTGACTAGTTCATTGCCCATAATAATCTCTATTTTATGTGAATTCCTGCCACCAATTCCCTTTTAAAGAGAATTTTTAAAAGAAACAACATTGAGGGGCGCCTGGGTGGCTCAGTCGTTAAGCGTCTGCCTTGACTCAGGTCATGACCCCGGGGTCCTGGGATCGAGCCCCGCATGGGGCTCCCTGCCTCTCGGGAAGCCTGCTTCTCCTTCCCCCGCTCCCGCTGCTTGTGTTCCCTCGCTTTCTCTGTCTCTCTCTGTGTCAAATAAATAAATAAAGTCATAAAAAAAAGAAACAACATTGAAATTTAACTTAATTGAGAAATGATCAGGACTGTTGAATATTCTAAAAAGTTCCTAATTGCACAGTTCCTCGTGTTGTCCTTGCACTCTAAATATGTACATACATTTGTTAAATTATAGATAACGGATCATTGTTTATGCATGAGTGGTTTTAAATTAGAAAAATTAAAGTTTAGTAAGTTAAAAGTGACTAGAAAATTTTTTCATCCTTACCCAATTTAAAATGAGCAATGCAATAAATAAGCATGACTTCATAGACCCAGATACCTTGGTTTATAGATGATTCATCTAATCACAAATACTTGTTGATCCAAGACTTTTGCCTCCACTCAAGGACTGGTACTCACTTTTTTGAGTCACCTATTTTGGATTTTTGCCTCTGCATTTTGCTTTTTTATATTTATTTGCTTCATTTAAAATAATAGTTGTCTGCTTGTTCATATTTGAAAGGAAAAGAAAAAGATGGACTTTTCTTTCTATAGAGATGAATGACAGTTTTCATCTTTGGGCAAAAGCATTGAAGATTAGTGATAAAAAGGGGTTGCAAATACTTCTTAGAAAAATAATTACACCAGTCCTAGATGTTAACAACCATCTTTGTGAAATGACAGCAGAAATGGATTCAGGTGATACAATTAGGAATAAGCTTGAGTCATGCTGAAATGTTTGACCAGCATTCTCTAGTATAAAATCTGCAAATTTACCTTCCCTTCTAAACAGCAGTGGTCATACTTTTCCTAGCTATGCTCTAAATTGAGCCTTCAACCTAGGAAGTGTGTGGAAGTTTGGAGGGGCTTCTCTTGAAAAACCATCAGGATTTACTAAATAATGGGAGAAGTTAAACTGTGAAGGCAAGAAAATGGAAGGAATTAAAAATGACTAGATAAAAAGTTGAAGAGTATCTTTTATGGCCTTCAAACAAATAAGCAGATGTTGCAAGAAAAATGACCAGTAATTTTCCCTTTCCATTAAGAATATGCTTAGAAAATGTGTTTGGATTATGGTGGAATTGATTTGGGAGAGCCGTAGAACTTCTTGGGTATTCAGGTTCGTATATACCGATATTGGAAATTATAGGACAGCCTTCACAGTAAAGTATTACAAACATACCAGCCATTTCATTTCTCTGCCCTTCCTGGCAGCCAGGATATATGGACAAGTTCCCATTCACATCTCTAATTCCATAATGTTTTATATATTTGTTTATGTCACTGTTGGAAAACTATTACTGATAACAATTCTAGTTTCACTCCTTATTTGTCTGATATTTTGTAATGCAGTAAAACACATTATTTTTGCTTTTCGCTGATTTGCCATCTGCTTTGAGCTTTAAATGAATTCAAGCTTCATTGGAGCTATGTTGTGCATGTGCTTAGTGTTTTTGCACAATCTGGTTATTTGGGGTTTTAATGACCTCTGTCTCCTCTGTTGTCTCATGGTCAGTTAACGGAACTCCCAGCAGCCAGCTGTCTACTCCTAAATCAACAAAATCCTCTAGCTCTTCTCCAACTAGCCCAGGAAGTTTCAGAGGATTAAAGGTATGAAATAGGATATATGGTGTGTTTGTGTGATTTTGTTGTTTTGAATTGCATAGTTTGGTAGTTTAATTTGTTCAGGGGCTTGGGTGCAATAACAAATCAAAAAGGAAAGAGTTTAGGATTTGGAGCTGGGAAGACCTGCCTTTGAATCCTGTGTCCTTTTTATCTTGTAATTTGGGTCAACTCACTTACCTCTTCTGAGCTCAAGTGTTCCTGTCTCTAAAATGGGAATGTAAGGTTGTGGTTAGGGTTGAACATATTGGGGTAAAATATAGTAAGTAGTAGTTTTCCCGTTATTATCAAAATGATTTGCAATGGGAAAGCCTTGGAGAACGCTATACTTCTTTTACAAATCTCATTTTGAATCATTATTTTAATATTGCTAACCTAATTCGACTTTGCGAAAGTTTAAAATAGGTTGAAATACTAGTAAGGTACTTATGTGCATATGTAGTAACCCAAGAAGATATGTTCATTTTGGTGAGAAGTTAGAAATAAATCTTAGGTTTTGACTGTGATATCCTAAAAATATAAATGGTAACTTAACATGATCAGCAGTTGGTTTAATAGACATTTTTTTGGTTTAATAGACATTGTGTCTAATAGGGAGAAAAATGGATGAAACCAAATTTGCAAAAATTTCAGCAACATTAATTTCATCTAGTAGCTTTCAATAATTTAAATTTATAAGAGAAAATTTGCCTGGTAAAATAGCAGTAAATGAGGTTAAAAACTGAGTTTTCGGGGCACCTGGGTGGCTGGGATCAAGCCCCGCATCGGGCTCCCTGCTCCGCGGGAAGCCTGTTTCTCCCTCTCCCACTCTCCGTGCTTGTGTTCCCTCTCTCACTGTGTCTCTCTCTGTCAATAAATAAATAAAACTCTTAAAAAAAAAATTGAAAGTTTTCCTTTTGTAGAAACAATGAAATTATCTGCATGGTAATGTACTCTAAGAATACTGAAGTATACATAGTGCTGTGTATGCATGCGTAAATTAACTTGTTCTCATGGTGTTTTGGTGACATTGGAAATGTCTTCATTAGGAATACATTCCCCCAAAGTTGGTTGCCTAAACACTTCAGATATTGTCTGAGTGGTTTTCTTTACTTTAAGGATGTTGAAAAATCTTTTTCATTAGTACAATGGATTGTAAGAACCCCACCACCCCTGGGTGAGTGAGGAATGAGAACCTGCAGAGCAGTGAGGACGGTAGGCCTTCCACTTCTCCAAGGGCTCATTCTCCACCTGACTCTAAGGTTTGGCTGTCCTGCCCTGAGAAGGTTGTGTGATCATTCAAGGTGAACTTGCATGATTCTCATGTAAGTGACAGAGATCAAAAAGAGAAATTCCTTCCTGAAAAGGACAGCTTGTTTTTGTGCCTGCTTGACTGAGGTGGGTAGTAAGTGTGAGAGAGGGGAGTATATAGCTCTCACCTACCTCCAAGTGCTAGGATCTCCTTTATCAAAAGAACCAGGCATTTTGAGGTGCGAAACTGCCTTAGGTCAGTTTATAGTATGATTTCAGTGGAATTCTAAACTGTTAATAACCAAAAAGTTATATATAAATTAAAAATCACTAAGCAGCAAAGTATTTTCAGCTTCCCCCCAATTTATTGTACCCCAAATAGATAGGAGATGCACTGTTTTTAATTTGAGTAACTTTCAAGAGAACTAAAGTAAAAATAATTCAAGTTCATTCACTTCTTTTCTAATTTCAGTCCTGTGTTAAAAGTAAAAGCAAGTGGCTCCTAGTGCTGGTAACTTTTAACCTTAGGGCAAATCCCACACAGACTTTCCAGTGAGCCAGAGTCCTGTCCTCCCACAGGCCATTGCTCCGGGCAGGATACTGAATCCTTTGCTTCCTTGTTGTTTCATTCACTTCCCTCTTTGTTATCCCTCGGTAACCTTTGCTCCCATCTTTCTTTCTAGCCCATCTTCAGCTGTGAGCCCAAGATTGTTCCTTTTTAATTGTTGCTACTAGTCAGTTGGTGCTGCTTAATGCTTAGAGCACACACCCACCCTACACACATGCACACAAACTAGCACAAGATCACTTATACTCCTGGAGTGGAGATTCGTGGAGTTTTGAAAACATGATAAGTTGTTTTATTGCTGAGACATTAGATAAAGTTGTTCTCATTATGCTGAGTGTATTGGAAATGGTATAGCAACCCCAGCATCTAGTACACAGCTCTTGGTTACTGGTCAAGATAGAAGATGAGATTATCAGTAAGATAAGGAGTAGTGGTCTTTCTGTTACTGGTGGGAGAGAGCGTTGTGTGAATGGGGAGGTCTCAGCTTGGATTCCCCATGAAAAGATACATAGGGATCCGTGCTCAGAATAAAGACAGCCAGAAGGAAAGTAGCAAGTACAAAGCAGTTCATTAAGGTGAAAGGACACTCTCAAGGTGGGAGAGCGGACAAGTTCCAGGAGGTGGAACCAGCCCCTAGGTTGTTTTGGGATTGGGTATTACTGGGTCTTCCTGGGACAAGCAGTGTGGTGGGTGGTCTCTAGTGGAGGCTGCTTCCAGTCTTTTGGGAGACTCCTCCCACAGGTTGGGAGGGGGAGTGTTTGACCCTGTGAGGTTTGTACCAGAACCATCAAGGTAGCTTTTCTCCATTGGCCATTGGGCATTGGGCAGGGCTATACCCGCAATTCAGATACATTATAATGAGTTTAGGGGTTACCCTGGGGCAGAGGTGGAAGAGGGGAGTACTGTGTTCTGTACCCATGGCTCTTGATCTGTCAGTCCCAGGGTCTTAGAAGCCACAAGGTCAGGATGTTGTGCCCCCCCCCCTTTAATGTGTCACCTATTTATCACTGTCCTTGCCTCCAGCTCCTGTCTCTATCATTCTCCCCTCAAGGCCTTGGGACTCTGCCTCCCAGCATTCCTCCCACTGCTCAGTCTAGCTTCTACCTAACTTTTGCATGACCCTACCCCCTTCCCTCCCAAACCCACTTTGTCTTCCACCACACTTGAGGCCTCTGGGCTTTACTCACAGCTGTGAGACCTCCTCTGTGTTTTCTATCATCATCAAATAAGGACATTTGTTTTCAAATGACCACTAAAGTGCTGGGATTATAGTTCTTTAAATTAGCAAAAAACCACAAAAACTTACTTAGGAGGCAGGGGGAGTCTATTCTCTTCACTTTAAAGCTGATACAGAATTACTGAATTATACATTAAATATTAGCAGCTTATATTAGCAGCTAAATATTAGCTGAATCTCTGCCACACTGATCAGCTTTTAGGCCACAATGCTAAACTGTTGCCTGTTCCCCTGGGTCATGCCTTATGGAAATTGCGTCTCCTGACTGTTCCCAGCAGTCCCTGGTATTGGATATTGTTGTGGGGATGAAGACCTGCCTTTGAAATACTGCCGCTTAGTCATGTTACTTACTGTACAAAATACCCTAATTTCGACGTCAGTGTAAGCTCTAGTCAGCATCTGTCCACGTTTGCATTATTTTCTCTATTCAGTGACATTACAAATGGAGAATTACAGATAATTACCATGTGTTAGTGCTCTGCTTTTTTCTTCCCCTTCATTTAAAATGGCTTATTAAGATCAATTAAGAGGGAATGTCTGACAATGGAGGGCTGTTTTGCACAGGCAGGAACTATTTATCCTGGTTAGATGCTTTAATGGCTTTGGGGATAGCTAATCTTTATCGAGAGAATCAGAATTGACAAAAGCAAGCAAACCAAGCCAGGACAGCCTGTGTAGGAGATGATACTCCTGTCTCTCTATCTGCCAGGACACAGCTTCTGCCAGATTATTTACTTACTTACTTACTTACTTACTTACTTACTTACTTACTTATTTATTTATTTATTTATTTATTTATTTAACTACCTGGGTTTTACCTAGTAGGGAATTGGGCAAAGTGAAGTCAAAGGGAAGCAGAATTTGATATTCTATCACAATTTTCCTGTGCCAGTTTCTGGGAATCATTTTAGTGTTTTGGTAGGGACGTTGGAAAAACTGAAAACGAAAACAGTCATATTGTGATGTTTAATCTCTGACCACAGAGTGTCCATGGCTTTTTTTGTTTGCTCATTGAAAAAGATATGAGAAATACAGAAGCAGCCCAGTTCTCCACAAAAAAGTCCTCATAGTTTTCCCCATCCTACTCTTTGAGGAAGACCTTTCTGCTCCATTCATACACATTTATAAAAGATCGTGCTCTTTGAAGGGCTGGACCAAAGCCACGAGAGGAAGGAAAGCTTTCTTCAAATAGTGAGTAATTTTTGCAGGATGGGAGTGTAAGAAATAGGGTGGCAACCAAGCAGTTGGGCTTCTTTAAACCTAAAACTAAAAGACATTAGGGTAACTGAAAGTTGTACCTCGATTATAATTTTTTGGTTTTGCTAGTTATGTGAAACCTACATTCTGAAAACAAAGCCATCTCAGATCTGTAGTTTAGTCTTCATTTTATAGATGGAGAAACTGAGGTTCAGAGATATGAAGTGACTTGTTCAGGGTCTCAGCAGCCTGAGGGATCTCTGACCCTTTTAGGGTCTCTGTCTCTAACCTGTGGCTCTTCCCCCATCCCTGTTGGGTCTGCTTCAGTGACTGCAGCACAGACCTCTCAGGAGGAAGCTTGTATGGTTATTATGGAAAAGCTATGCTGTGTAAGTCTTTTAGGAGGGTGAGTGCTGGGGGTGGCTTGCCAGATACTGAGTATCTGGGTTTAGAAATGCATAAATGCTTTGAATAAAAATGGGTTGAGATATTAGAAATGGAATGCGGAGGGTGCTTGGGAAAAGGGGGAGGCAGTCCTGGGGTGGGGGAGGCTGGATGAAGAGAGGTAGAAAGATAGAGAAGCGCCCAGCACTTCTACCTAACCCCAAAAAGCTTTAATAAAATGACAAAGTTCACGAGAGGTTAGGGTTCTTGGTTTTCTTCGGAAGCCAGCAGTGGAACTGAGTATTGTTAAGATTGACATAGACTGGAGCAAGATAGTGTAGTCCAGGCCCAGCAAACATGTAGGTA